AGCAGCGCAGCTCTGGGCAGCGCCGCGGCCTTTCGGCCTCCGAGCTACAGCAGCGGGTGAGTCCGAGCCTGAAGGCTCGGAGAAGGGCTTTGCAGGGAAGCTGGGCGCAGGGCGAGGGGCAGGGGTCATCCCTTCTCCACTTTGTACCCACTACGCTTAACCTTTGGATGCAGGAGGCTGGCCGAGATACTGGAGAGGTGGAGAGTCGAGGTCACCTTTCCAATTTGGAGCCCCGGATTCTCCCAGGCCTTCCAGCTCCCACCATTCTTATCCCTGGCTCCCTAGAGGAAACCCGCATTCTTGGGTGACGTCAGACCTCGGGATTCTGGAGCCTGACTGGGCCTTGGGCCCTCCATTCTCCCCTGGAAACCGGTGTTCTCTTTCCTGGGGATGGTGCACGCCATAGGGGATGGGGGCGACTGGAGGCAGGGTAACTGTAGCATCCTTTGCGTCCTTCCTCACTAGAGGCGCGCCTGCTGGTGGACCCAGGTTGTTACTCCCCACCTCCACCCCAACCCCGCCTTCCAGGGCGACCGACCTTTGGACTGCTGGTCTGAGCCGCCTCAGGGTTTGCGGGGGAAGGGGGGGTGCAGTGGCTTGAGCCTGGGGTCCCCCAGGGCTGAGGTGGTGTGTTGGGTGTGCCGCATGTAGCTAATTCCAACGCTGGCTGGAGTCGGTCACGAGGATAAGGGTGAGGTGTTTGGGAACCCGTCCCTTCCCCTGCCTTGGGGAGCTTTTGATCTGGGAGTTAGGGGAACCAAGTAGAGACTGAGAATTGCCCCAGCTCCCAGATGGGTAGTTTAGGGAGGGCCAGACAGACCTTCCAGTGGACACAAGGAGCACAAGGAGAAAGGGAAGCAAGAACCAGCGAATAAGAGACTTCCTGGAGGAGGTGGGAAGAGAGGGGATTCCTGGGGAATGGTAGGCAAAGGCATAGAGATGGGAATTAAGCACAGCTGTTGGGGAGCCTGCCTGTGAGCCCATGGGGTGGGGGAGTCTAAAGAATTTTGCAGCTACTGGTTCTACCTCTGAGGGGCAGGGCTTTGAAAGAGGGAGATGGTTCTTTCAGGGGCATTACTGGTGGGAATGATTTTTCTGGGGAGGCTACACAAGTCTTGCTAGTTGAGATTTGATCTGGGTTTGGTGAACCTGAAGTCAAAGTCCTCAAAGCTGAGAGAGGAGTCTCTTTGGTGAATGGGCCACGGAAAGAGGGTCTTCTTAGGTCTACAAGCTTATGGAGTCCTTTCCCTGGCTGGCTGTTCCTCTCTCTGGGCATCTTTTTGCCAGCACCTTTCTTTATGGATGAAATAATAGGATTAAGTACTGACCTCCCTTGAGGAGGCTGCTTGTTCTAATTTAGAGCATCCTTCCCAGTTCATCTCCCTTTTCCTTTTCTCCGCTCTCTACCTCCCTCTCCCTGCTCCTCCTCATATTTCCTTTAGGGGCTGCACTTCCTTCCCTGCTGATATAGCCTGGACTCTCTGAAGGTTTCCTGGAGGTGGGACAGCAGGGCTGACAGAAGCTGTGGGCTTAGCAGTTGGGGCAGGGCTTCAGTTGCTCCTCTCCCACCTTTTGGGAGGGTATCCAGGTCTTAAGCAGGAACACAGGTTGGCAGTGCTCTGTGTCCTGCCTTGTGTTGGGTCCCTTCTGGAAAGCCCATCCATGAGAGACCGAGGAAGAGATTGGATGAGAATGAGTGACCACTTGGTGGCTAATAACTGGTTCAGAATTTAAGCAGTAGGATGTATAGCAAGGATATTTGAAAGGTTTCCCAGGAGAGATAGGATGTGAGAAAACAGTAGGACTTAGAGGAGCTGACAGGACTCTTTTTTTATTTTATTTGTTGTTCCATTTATTCATTCATTGGTTGATTCTTTTTTTTTATTAGTTAAGGTATTACAAATGTGTTCTCATCCCCCCCCATTAACCCCCAGCTCCCCGACACACACAAAATCATGCTCCCATCCCCCTG